CCCCCAACTTCTAAGATATTCCTAAAATTCTCCTGTTCATGTTGTCTAAACAATATCCATTTATTTTCTTACTATATATTTTGGAAGTGGTTTACGCCTATGAGATAATGAACTTTGGACTGAAAATATTTTTTTGACTACTGACTGGAAAGATGACTCAGTGGTCAAGAGCACTGACTGCTCTTCCAGAGGTCCTGAGTTCAATTCCCAGCAACTACTTGGTAGCTCACAACCATCTGTAGTGGAATGCGATGCCCTCTTCTGGTTTATAGTGTACTCATATACACTAAATAAATAAATAAATAAATAAATAAATAAATAAATAATAAAATGTTTAAGAAGAAAAAAATCATATATATTTTTTAAAAAAGAAAATATTTTTTTGAAAGAACACCCTAAGCCTTTTCTTTGGGTATAAAATACAGAGAAGTAAAGAACTCTTTCCAGAACATCTGGGCACCATTAAACCATGTGACTGATGGGGTAAGGTGATGAGGTAAGGGTGTGAGTCATATATTCAGATAAAGGAAGCTGTCACAGACAGAGAGGTGTCTTATTTACAGTGAGAGACCAGTTTCTTGGTCTTCCATTTTTATATTTTGTGCTAAACACCTTATAATCCCAACGCATGTAACGTAACGTACACAGAATTCTTGTAGAAAATTGGATGCATACTTCACATTAGCTAATCACCAGGCGTCTCTTTGCTACACTCTCCTCTGAAATGTCCCTAAAATGAGCAGTACTAGAGAATGATTCTAAACCACAGAAATTTTGTAGGAAATTCTCTCACTTTGTCTCCACAACCAGAGCCTTGGGTCTTGACTGCAGTGTTGAAGCCAGTGCCTTCAGATACCCACAACAAGGATATCTAGGAATGTTCTCTTATGGCTTGTGTTCTTGAGTCTTACGGGGGAAAAAATAATAGTTCCTATCTCAGTCCACACTCGTTAATGTAGATTGTTAAGTTTTGGTCAATATATACTAAGCTTATCTTAGAGCACAAACTATGCATCTTTTAATCTTTAGTTTAAGCCAAACAAAACACACGGATAAGACTGCAAAGTAGGTTTTAAACTAATTACAACTCTTTGTACACACCCGTTTTATGTCAACTTGACCCAAGCATTTTATCAGAGAAGAAGGAGCCTCAATTGAGAAACTGTCTCCATAAAATCAGTCCATGGGCCAACCTGTTGTGTATTTTCTTAATTAGTGACTGATCATGGAGGGCCCAGTCCAATGTGAGTAGTGCCATCCCTAGGCTTGTGCTCATGGATTCTATAAGAAAGCAAACTGAAAAAATTAAAAATAAATAAATAAATAAATAAATAAATAAATAAATAAATAAATAAAAATTTAAAAAATAAAAAATTAAAAAAATTTTAAAAATTTTAAAAAAAATAAAAAATAAATTTAAAAAATTAAAAAAAATAAAAAAATAAATAAATAAATAAATAAATAAAATAAATTACAAAAAAAGAAAGCAAACTGAGCAAGCCATGGGGAACAAACCAGTAAGCAGCATCCTCCACGGCCTCTGCATCAGCTCCTGCCTCCAGGTTCCTGTCCTGCTTGAGTCCACACTTCCTTCAGTGATGACCAGTGCCCTGGAAGTGTAAGCTGAACAAATTCTTTCCTCCCCAAGTTTCTTCATCACAGTGACAGTAACCCTGACTAAGAAGCCCTTCTTCCCAGAAATCATGAAGTTTTCTTTATATCATATTTATCTTTATCATCTATTTATTTATTTCTGTCTGTCTGTTGTTCTCATCTATACATCAACATCCTTTATCTAAAAAATGTTTTTCTCAAAACCAAGATATTTAGGGTTCCTTTTGACAGACGGCTCCCCCTTTCACCCCAGTGAATGGCCCTTCACAGGCCCACAACCCCTGTCTCAACTCTACGGGCACCCTCCGCAGAACTCTCCAGCTTAGCTACACTTGAGTTCAGCTGCTCTTAGCTCCCTAGCTATCCTCCTGGAGGCTGAGTCTCTCTTCTGGCCCCAGGGAGGGTCTACATTAAGTAAAGTCTCAGATAGTTGATGATTTTGTCTTTCTATATACCCATAGAGATGTGGTTTTAGAAACAAAGAAAGAGAGAGGGGGGGGAGTGAGGAAGGAGGAAGGAAGGAAGGAAGGAAGGAAGGAAGGAAGGAAGGAAGAAGGAAAAATTTTAATTCATTCATTCTCTTCCACACAGCATAAGACCTGTGCCTGGCTGGCCCTGGAAACCCAACAGGAAGACAAGGAAATGAAGAAGACAGACATATAGACTCATGCCATAGAAAAGCCAGAAGCAGGTGGCCTGTGCTCACTACACAACAAACCCAGAACTGGATCAAGTTTATTGTGTGCAGATCAGAGGGGAGGCGTCAGCTGGTCTCAGTAAGAGGTCTCTGAGGGTAAGCGGTGCCAGGCTGCAGTCATCTGGGTGGAGGGATCTGTGGTTGCTGCGTTTCTCACACACTGCCAACCTTTGCACTCAGACCAAAGGAAGGCCTTACCTCACCCCAGAGGAAAGTTTGTCACTCTCGTGGGTCTGAGGCATGAGGGTCCTTGACATGGCCCAGCCCATGTCAAATAACACACATTAGCTCACAACTTCACGCATCCTTTATACATTCACCCAGACTCTCCACCCCTGTCCAGGCCGTGACACCACTGAAATCTAAATAACCACAAAATGTCAGAAGAGATATCTGGTATTTTCCCCAGAGTCCCATCACGACATAGGAGAAGCCTCGGGCTTGGGTTTGGGATGCTTTGTTATGTTCTCCCTTTTTTTTTGTGACACTGACACACAGCTTAAAGGGAGCCCTGGTGGTAATGGCATACATATTCTTCACAAAGAGCCTTTATTAGGTCACCAGCTTTAGCCTGCCCAGGCCCACACTGCTTCCCAATAGACCACTGTCCATCCTGCATTTTCTCTAGCTTATAAACACTCTATACAGAAGATAATAATGTTTTAATTATTCTTGATGCTCTGTATTTCTGCAAGTCTGGGAAATATTTATGGCAATTGAGTACTACAACAGCCCAAGTGTTTATAGTGTATTGAGAGACCTTCAGTCTGAATAATTAATTCTATCTCACTATTACTAGGTATCTGAAAATACAAAGGTATATTCTGTGTCTAACCTGAACTAAATAAGCTAAGCTTAGTCTAAGCCTGGGTGGATGGTCATAATCTATAGAAAATCTATTGGAAAACAATCACCCTAATAAAAGTAACTATAAAAGATGCTTGAAAGAACATTTAGAAAAGCAGTTTGGTATACAACTGTGGCGTTGTTACCTGAGACCATTGGCACATAGGAAAGGAACTGCATAAGGAAGATCTTTCCGAGGGCTGGTAACACTGTCTTGGATAGCCTGGAATCCCAGACAAGATCAAACATGGAAGGAGGGGAGCTCACAGGGCACACCCTCGACGCTAGCTGAAGAGGTGTGAATCTTACTGCAACCATTGTCTGTGTGCTCCAGACTCAGACTCTTCAGCCTTTGAATGTGGATTCATGCAGGTGGCACCTCACCTCGGGTGTGGTCCAGCCTTTCAGCCTCAGACGGAAGCTGCTTTGTTGCTCCCTTGACCAAAAAGCTGTACTGGTTTCCCTAGCCCTCCAACCTGCTAGGTGACTATGTCAGCCAATTCATAATCATTAATTATTGGCTTTACTCCTGTGGAGAATCCTGCCGAATACACTACAGCTTACATATAACTTCTATGTGCCACCCACCGTACCGATGACGAATACAGGGTTGTAGCAGACAGAGACGGACCTCACTAGAACATTGTTAAAGTGAGAACCTGGGCTTGCACGCATCTCTCTAACTTTCCTGCGAGGAGAATAATTAAGCACTAGCCCTGCTTTCGGTTTCCAAGGAGTTGATTAAGTATACATCCAGCCCGAGTAAAAGAGCACAAGAACGAGCGGCGGAAAAACAAACCGTAGAGCGTCCGATCAGACACAGCAACCCGAAGAAACTCATTAGAGAGGCCCTGGGGACCCCAGCACAGCTGGAGCGTGTTGACTGAGGGTCCCAGGCCGAACTCCTGAGTGAAGTTCCCAAGGAAAAGAACAAATATCATCATCTGAGGGCTCACAAAGCTCCACAGAAACCCACTCAGGAAGGTTGGGTCAATTAACTGAAGTCCCCATTAAGCTTTCTGCCTATGGTGGAGCCTCAGAGGCAGGGTACCTCTTGCCCACGGCAAGCATTAGCATATCACCGGACACGTGATAAAGTGCTCAAGGGCTGGTTTTACTGTTGTGCTGGTTTGGCTGTTGTTTTCTTCTTGTCACAGGGTTGGGAGGCCATTCCATCCCCTGACAAGGGGCCTGGGAGGACCCTTTGAGACAAACAGGCATGGGTATGAGGTGTTGCGAGTGGGGGAGGATCTTTCTTCCAGACCCAATTTCTTCTCAGTGATCTTAAAGAAAGCGTGACAATTTAACATTCCCGGCTTCTGAATCAACTCCTTACCCCATTAGTGGGGCAGAATTCGGACCCAGCTTTCCAGTCTCCTCCAAAATATACTCCATAAATAGCAAAAACCTCTCCGGTTTCATTTTGCACACGTTAGCATATTCTCTCCTTGAACCTTCTTGTTAGCGTGACTGTCATCTCTTCTGTGGATTCCCACTTGTAGTCACCAGAAGAGAAATTACTTTCACATTGAAGACAGCTTAAAGCAAATACTGGTTTTGTTGGAAAATGGGTATAAAAAGAGCCCCTCACCCCCACATCTTCTACAAGGTATTTCCAAGACACTGGGCACCAGGGTCTAATCTCCACAGGGCGGGTCTTTAGACAGGTCTGCGTGGAGAGTGTGGCCAGCTGTCCTTTTACAAGGGTCAAAGTCTGCCTTCTGGCCTTGTGTACAGAAAGGAGGAAGTTTGCACAGGGTGGCCCAGCTGATTCCACAGAGCGATTTCCCTTCCCCTCTGAGTCACGGGGGAGTCCTGCCTTTCACAGTTCCCAACTGAGCAAGCCAAGCCGAAAAGTCACAGTGCTGACTCTGGAGTGCCCAGTGGTGGAAAACGTGTGAACTTCCAGCTGCAAATGACCTGAGGTCCAAAGCCCACTCACGAAAAGAGAATTGGTACTTACTTCTAGTCGTTGGTGGGGGGGTGAGGGATGGAGGGAGAGGCTGCAGACACACTGTGCTTTCTCTGTGTCTCTCATAAGCACTTGCTCTGACTCCTCTCTATCTTCCTGATGTAAAAGGAAAGGGGACCCTTTGAGATTTGCCCTCCTTCAAGTCCCCCGCCTTTCCCAGTCCCCGTCTCCCCTCCCCCAACACCACACACACCCCGCTTCTGAATCAGCTCCTTGTCCTCCCCAGCCGCACTCAGGGCTCCTTTCCTGTAGCCTCTCATCCTCAGATCATTTCTGCATTTACTTCCTCGCGCCTTAGCCCCTATGCCTGCGGGACGCTTTGCAGTCTAGCCTGAAGCCCTAATTCACGTGGAACTTGCTCTAAGCTTCACTTGGAAAGGGTTGATTAGACCTGACCCAGTGTTGTTTTCTCTAACAGCGACGGACGTTGTGAAGCCACCTCACGGGCCCTCATGTCTGCAGACACTGGCGGTGTATTCTACAGAACCCTTGTGCTTTCTTTCTTATTGCTGTGGCAAAGTTCCTGACAGAATTTCGGAAGGAAGTGTTCATTCTGTGCTTTATTTATTGTTATTATCATTATTATTAATTATTGTTATTATTACCATTTGAAGGTGTGGTCCATTAGGGCAGGGAGGACATAGCAGGACAAGTGTGCGGTCACAACGTAGAGATAAATTCTGTTGCTCAACTCACTTTCTCACTCCATCTGGGACGCCAGCCCAAGAAATTGTGTCTTCTGCATTTAGGGTCTTTCCTACCTCAGTTAGCAGAATGTAGAAACTCACTCACAAACATGGCCTAAACTGTCTCCTAGCTAATTCTGGTTCCAGTCAAGTTGACAGTCACTATTGGTCATCACAAACCCCAATTCAGTATCTAGTAGAGATACATTGACTGAACTTGAAAAGCAACAGTGTATCAAGGTTCTTGTGTCTGCTGATGGTTACCACGAAAGGCTTTGCCGAGGATTCAGGTAGAACTCAGGAGTAAACTGGTGTTGTGTAACTGTGGTGGCTGGCTCTTAACAGCACAGTGATTCTTTAGCTCCTCTACTCACATCCTGAAGTGAGCCTCTCTCATGATGGAAGAGCACCGGTGTGAGGAGCATCATACAGTAGGTGTGAGTTCTTATGGCCTCAGTTGTTCTTTCCTTAGGACTATCTAGCCTGACTGGAGTCACTGTTTATAACGCAAAGACACTCGAATGGCTCAGTAGCCTAGTCAAGAGCTTGGCTGCAATTTCAAAGGCGGCCCTGAGCCAGAACAACTCTGCTAAGCTGCACCCACATCTTTCACCCTCAGAAACCATGTGAAAGGCAAATGTCTTAAGTGGTGAGTTTTCTGGCAAACTTTCGTGAAACAACAGAGTACTTAATACACATTCTCTATTCCTACTGGCTACCCACTGTCTCCTCATACAGGGATACCCATCACTCTCAAACATATGAATGAATTCCATCTGTGATAATCCAGCCCTACCTGTCATTAGAAACTAATTACACAGTCTTTATAATTAATTGAAGGCCGCATGTATAGCTCAATGGTAAAGCATCTGTGTGAGGTAGACTTATTTTTCTTTTATTTCCTAATGATACACCAGCAAAATCAATCCTCTATCTTTTCTTAATAAGACTATTAGGTTTGGGGCCAGAGAGATGGCTCAGCGGTTAAGAGCACTGACTATTCTTCCAAATGTTCTGAGTTCAATTCCCAGCAACCACCTGGTGGCTCACAACCATCTGTAATGGGATCCAGTGCCCTCTTCTGGTGTGTTGAAGACAGCGACAGTGTACTCACATAAATAAAATAAATAAATCTTAAAAAAAAAAAAAGAGAAAGAGTATTAGGTTTGACTTCTGAAAACAGACTATAAAACAGGCCCACATTTGTCTATCTGTAGAACCTAAAATTTTAGTAAGAAGAGCCAAGAGAAGTAAGCTGGATCAGCGCCTTTGAAGGTCAAATACTCTTAGCTAACACAAACCATAGTAATGAAATAAGTCATCTTGTAGGGATGACAGCACCAAAGAGATGTTCTTTCGTGGTAGATTGGTAAGTCCTGTAGCTCCTCTCTCAGCAGAGATTGACAGATGCTGCAGTTCATGCTACTAGTGACAACCCATGGTATGTCAGGTCCTTATATTAGGGACCTAAATAGTATTTCCTCCAGTAGCTCAGAATCTAGATGGTCTATAGGGGACAGTGGTTCTAACCAATGGCTTGGTGTTTAATATTGTGCTTCATCTAGAAAAATATGTGCAGGTACATATTTTTAAACAAAAATAAATGTATTTGGTGCATAAAGATGAGAAGGAATAGAGCAAATTCTTAAGAATATAAGTCAGAGTTGTACTGACTTGTACACTGGAAAGTAATGATGTCACCGGCCAGTTTGAAGGACTCATGTTCAGAAGTTACCAAGAGGATTCACTTGATAAGACAGCATTAAACTTGGTCAGCTACAGGAATGCACAGGTCACATGGTCATGAAGTGTTCTTTATGGCAGGAATTTTTTTTTCTTTTTGGTTTTGTGTAAGAGTCCAGATCTACTAATCACTTGTGCAAGATCTAGTATTTCAGTGAATGGAATGGCAGTCATGTAATATATTAGTGTTATTCTTCCTACTTTAAAAGGCAAACAGGGACCCAAAATATCAAGAGACCCATCGGAAGCAAGTCAGCCAGAATGTCATAATTGTAAGTCATCTGATCTCAAATCTAATTTTCTTTCCATAAGACCAAGACAGCCTGGTATTGGGAGCAGTAGATTGCAAAGGCACAGAACCTTAGGTCTGCAGTATAGAACTCACTGGTGACAGGTGTGAGCTGGCAATGGGGTTTTAACAGACTGCCTTTGTGGGCTCCCATATCTGCAGGTCTCACCCACTAGAGCAAATACCAGTGCAGATTCCAGATTCCTGGTCATCACTCACGTCCGGACCTTCCAACACCATGCCCAAGTTCTCTGTCAGATTCTGGACTGAACAGAATTCCTACCTTGAAATCTCCACCTTCTCTCAAGCTTACTGCAAACGTTGTGTGACAAAGGAAGCTGAGATTCCCACAACCAACTCAACCACAACATCATTTTCTAATACAAGGTGCACCTTTAAAAACCATTCTGGGACTGACACATGCTCTCTCTGTGACCTCTCCTTCTTTCCAAAGAAATAAATGACAGCCAGTATGCCATCATAAATCTGAGCTTGAGTAAAACAGGTCTAATAATTGTTCTTATGCTCATTTCCCTTCCATCATCCTGACACTAAGACCCGGAGAATTTGTTTGTAGGTAACTTTTAATTAGAAGAGATCAAGAAGCAAATTGTTGAAAGAAATAAGAACATTGCTTTTTATCACTACGCTCGTGGCTAGCCTTATCTACGAAACACGAGCTTTCAAGTGGTAAATTTCTAAACTTTATTAAATACGTCCTTCCTCAACTCTAGTTTGAATTTTCCCATGTTATGCTTATCACTCTTCCCACCTCAAGGAGTCCGAAGTCAAACTTGAGATATTTTCCAGTTTTATTTTTTCTGATTTGGTGCAAGGCACTGGGTCCAGGCATTCAGTTCTCTGCTCTTCAGGTTTCTTGACTATAAAATCCCTGGGGCATTGCTTGCTGACTTCCAAGGGTGCTTGAGAAATCCTGGTTCTTGCAGCAGAAGTGACTCTAAAACAACCGAGCATATTTAGGATTGGAGTTTCCTTGACTGTGTCATTGTGCTAGGAAGTGTTTACTTCAAAATCATAGTAGCAGGCACTGTATGGATTTCAAAATAGGTATTCGGAAACCAAACAAGAGTCTGTGCCTCTGAAAGAACTGTAAGCAGAACACTGGTGTGCTCTTAGAATCCAGCACCAGGGAGGTAGAAACAGGAGAGTCACTGATTCAAGCCAGCCTGGGCTACGTGAAAACTTGTTTTTTAAAAACAAACAAACAAACAAACAAACAAACAAAATGACAACAAGTAAACACTATGTAGCCAGGCACATGCATGCCACACACACACACACTCACATCCCATGTACACATACTATACACACACCCTGTATACACACCACACACACCATATACACACTACACACATACACACCCTATATACACACAGCACACAATACCACACATATACACAATAACACACACACAACACAAAAACCATACACAACACGCACACCACACACACACATCCCATATACACATATACACACACATACACTCACACCACCTATAGATACACCATATCACACTACGTACACACACTAAACACACACACACACTACACACATACTATACACGTGTACACTACACACACACCATACACATACACCACACACACACAGATGCCATACACATATCACACACACACACCATACACATACATACACACACCACACACACCATAAACACACACACACATGCCACACATACACATACCATACACACACACACCACACAAACACACCATCCACACACACATAGAACACATACATATAAACTCTCACATACACAGATATTCGATATACACAGTCACACTCATGAGCACACAAAGACAGACACTCATGTCCAAGAGTATTTCAGAAGTGAGAAAATAAGCAAGTTCTATGAAAAAAAAAAAAATGGAAGCACTGTCAAGGAAAACATGTTGTTGTTTTCAAGATATGCCTGCCGGCTACAGAAATCGAAGGGGTGGAGAGAGCCGGAGACCCAGCTTTGAGCAACTGCCTCCTCCTTTTGGAGCCCTTCTCTGTTCTGAGTGGCCATTTCTCCTCCTTGCCTTGAGCAAAATTCCCCAGAGGAGTATTTCCCAGCACGGAATGAGGATGTTATTTACGGTACGAGTCTCTTCGGCATGGGACAATTTTCTAGCGTGCGCTGCATCTCCCCCACCCCAGCCGTCGCTTTATTTGGGTTTGGTTGTGTTTTTCCAAGCTCCCCTCCTCCCCTATAATTTCCCCTGGCTCGTCCCCAAGTCACTACTTCCTCCTGTGCTGTCCCCTCCCAGTTTCCCTTCATCTATTTTCCTTATAGCTTCTCCGACACTCCCTCCTGTTTATCTCCGGAGCCATCACATCCTCTATTAACCGAGGTTATCTCAGGCTGTTGACTCCCTGTCTCATTTCTTCTGACCCTACTTTAAAGGGGAATTTCATTTCATTATTTATGCATTTTTTTTCCTCCCAAAGGGATGATCACTCAGATTTTCTAAGGTTCCTGCCGTCGGACAACAGGAAGGAATTTCTTCAGCTGGGAGACAGCTGGTAGGAGACACAGTCCATCCTTCTCCTTGAGGACTTCCATCCGGCCTCCCTTCTCACTCATCCTTTGGTTCTGAGAGAGTACTCTCCCCCATCACATGGTGTGGTCAGCTGCAAAATAAGCTTGGGAGAAAATAGTAGCACTGGACTCTGTGAATGTTTTCCAGGGACACCCAGCCTTGACCCTATGGTGCTATTAGCCAGTGGCATTGAATTTCATTCCAAAGGCATTGCTGTTTACATAAAGCTGTGTCGGACCCAAGCCCAGTGGGAACCACAGAAGAAATTACAGGGAAGTAAAGCAGCATTTGCCTTCAAGATTGGGTCTCTAGGGAATGCATCGCAGTTGTTTTGGGGACTATGTGGCCCTGTGGGGATGGTGTCTTGATTTTTCAAGCATACATACAGCATCTTGCAGGACTGAAAGAGACTCACCTGGTAGCTCTTTTCAAATGAGCCAAAAAAGAGGCTATCTTTTGTTTCAAACGTTTGAAGCACTGGAGAGAATCCTTGTGTTCAGATGAAGAGAAAATGCCACCACCAGAGAAATCAAACCCCTGAGCTGTTAAGATACTTGTAACAAATGGAGGAGTGTCAGGAAAGTTGCAACACAAATTGTGGAACTGCTGGCTTCCTTCTCGGCCTGCACACTTGTCTGCTCAAGGCTTGATAGACTGGCCAGCCTACTGCCCCTTCTTCCAAGAGTACTTCATTGGGTTTTTTTCTTTTAACTTAATACAGTTCTAAATACAAATTTGAATCTTTATTTCATATTTTATAGTGTGAATTATTGTGACAGGATCCCACTCCTGTCTGAGAAAGGGGGGGGGGCATATAAAAAGCAGAATTCACCAGTTTGAAAGTAGTGAGGTGGTTTCAAGGCAAGAGGCCTAGAGGTACAGACAGAGTCTGGGCAGCAGAGGACTACAGAGAGCCTTTCAGCTGGGCGTCTGCTCATTCTGTATCCAGCACCCCGCCATGTTGAGAAGCTGGGGCACAGATGCCAGAGAACTCCTAAAAATAGACATAAGGGCCTGAGCACACAGCTGGGATTCCCTTCAGGACTTTGGCTGAATCGGGGCTGGTGGCTAAAAACCAACAAGCTGGAAGCCTCTGAAAAACTTCAGAAGCTTTAATTCAGAGGAGATGAAAATAGGCCTTTGGGATGTGCCAAGTGGAGGGTTCAATGTGACATGTTATGCTCTCAAGAGAGTATGGCTCTCAAGAGAACATATATGTACATGTCATATATATATATATACACATATACATATATATATGACTATACATGTATATATCGATATATATATATACACATATGTATACATATGTATATGTATACATATATATCAAACAAAAGCCCCACTAGACTATTCCAGTGCGCTTACAATGAGCAAACTTAGTTGTCACCCTGGAAACACTGTCTATTAACTCTTCTGAGAATGAAGAGTTCTGCAGTGTGTTTTAAGAGTCCCAGATTTAATTTAAAATTGAAACCTTCTCAGGCTAGCTGATGGTACTTTTCAACAGCTAAGAATGTCTCCAGAATACAGTATATGTTTAATTTAAAAAAAAAAAAAGACAAGCAGAGGCAGAGTTACAGTTGGACTCGGCCACTTCCAAGAGGTATGAACTTCCTAGACCCAGCGGCAACCGTGGATGGGACAAGCTTGCAACATTCATCTTGCTCTTCTTCCATATTACAGATATGAACAGCTGATAACTCAGGGTCTTCAATACATAGCATTGATTTATGGACTGATGAGATATTTCAGCTGATGTTCCAACTTCCACACATTATTCTTTGTCCTCCACACATGTGTCATGCATGAGAACAGCAACACTCACACACACACACAATCAATCAATCACTATATATTAAGAAAAAAATTGATTTTTAAAATTTCAGGATTTTAAATTGCCCTCTCACAGATCTCTAAGTTCACAGAGTAAGAGCAGTAAGTGCCATCTCAATTTTTAAAATGTTTAGACATACAGATAACTATGATAGAATTTCTAGGGTAAACATAACGTAGCAACTACTGATAGTTATTCTAGCATACTTTAGAAGTACCATGTGATGATCAGGTATGGTGGTATACACACCTATCATCCCAGGACCAGAAGAGGAGCCAAGAGTCCTGTCTACACAGTGACTTCCAGGCCAGTCAGGGTTGCATGCACAAGTCTTGGATCAAAACAACCCAAACAGGCTGGGTGTGGGCTCACACCTTACTGCCAGAACTTAGGAGTCAAGGCAGGGAGATCTGTGTGAGTTCAAGCCCAGCCTGTCAACAAGCTGGGATTCAGGCCAAGCCAGCTAGTGCTACATAGTGTGACCCTATCTCCAAGACAACAGGAACAACAACAGAAAACTACAGTGTGATCAGATCCTGATTGTGGAGTCCACCCATCAGGGCAACAGACACATCCTGCATGTGTCCTCCAGGCACTCACAGGGCCTGTAGTTTCCCTCATTACCCCCACTTTTTTCTAGCACATCATACTAGAAAGTCCCAGGAAATGTTAGATGACCTTTATAGTCTCTAGTTTTCTTTAGACTACAGTGACACACTTCTTGTCTAACCTTCAAATGTGTTGTCACAAGACAGTTTGTCCCTATTCAAGTTTCACCATGATTTTTTCTTCTGTTCATCACTGTATAACAAAGGACCATATACATAACAGTTTCTGAAATCTGTTCGTTAGTTCAAAGCCCTATAGGTCTGATGCTCAACATGGGTTGGATATGGTGCATACTCCTTTAATCAGGAGACAAAGGCAGGGAGACCTCTGAATTCAAGGCTACCTTTGTCTACAAAGTGAGTTTCAGGATAGCCAGGGCTACACAGAGAAGCTCTGCCTCTGAAAGAAGGAAAGAAAGGAAGAAAAAAAGAAAGAAAGAAAGAAAGAAAGAAAAAGAGAAAAAGAAAAGAGTCTCTCAAAAAAGAAAAGAAAAAAAGAAAAAGAAGAGGAGAAGGAAAAAGATGATGAAGAGGAAGCAGAAGAAAGAGGAAGCAGATAAAAGAAAGAAGGAAGAGGAGGAGGAGAAGAAGGAGAAGAGGGAGAGAGAGAAAAAAGAAGGAAGAGGAGGAGGAGGAAGAGGAGGAGGTCCTTCAACATCATGTCACTTGGTCCTTAATTCAAAAGAAGAAAAACAAGTTGCCAGTTGTCTTAGCTCAGGTTTTTATTGTTATGAAGAGACACTGTGACCAAGGCAACTTCTCTAAAGGCAAACATTTAATTTGGACTGACTTACTGTTTCAGAGCTTCAGTCCCTTATCATCATTGTGAGAAGCATGGCCACACCCAGGCAGACACGGTGCTCGAAGTGAAGCTGAGAGTTCTACATCTTGACTTGCAGGCAGCAGGGGACTACGTTCTACACCAGGCAGAGTTTGAGCATGTATGACCTCATGTCATGCCTGTTCAAGCCACCACAGCAGCTGAACCGATTTCTCTTCTGCAGGCTCTAAGATGGAACTTCCAAGGCCCTACGAGTTCTTGGCAGAATTCAGTGCCTTGCGGTTATGAGAGTCTCACTGCCTTGATGGCTGCTGACTTGGTCCTTCCTCTTGTCGTGTGTTCCCCTTTATCTCCAGGTCAATTCCCCTTCACTCTTCAGATCTCTCTGGGATATGTCTCTAGCTAGAAGAGGCATCTGTTAAAATGTCTCCTCTGGTGAACTGAGGCCCAAGGGATAATCTCTTGTTTTCTGATTGGCTCTTAATCAAGCATAAAAGTCACAGCGTTGTCTTGTGACATTCCATTCACAGAGGACATTGCAGGAATTCTTGGTATTACTACCTGTTGTTCTCCACCCCCAGCCCCCCATATCTGAGGTGGAAGTGCCTAGATCTGTGGATTTGACCTAGAGTAGATTTCCAGCTGGAAGAAGATCTGGTTTCATGGTATTGTGACCATCCCCCTTGCTTCCTTTAAGGGGAAGATGGACAGACTTTCATTTCCAGTTTGTAGAACACTTCAGCGATACATCAAATATGTATTTCTCTTTGTCACACAATATTTTCTGTCATTAGTGGGGGTCTGAGGAATTGCAAGTTATAGGGGCTTCTGGATACTTTTGAATGTCACAAAGAAGCCACAGGTACCAGAAGACCCCTTTTGTGTTGGTTTCTTGAGGTGTCCCAGAGCTGAACCAGCTCTAGGAAACATATTGTTAACAACTTTATAACCTGAATTAGCTGCCTGCAGGAGAACTGTCCGTAGTCAAAGATTTCCTAAGACACAGAAGCAAAATCCTAAGGAGACAAAATATTGATCAGTTGGGTTTCACTGCCGTTAGAGCTTCTGATCTTCGAGGCCGTTTGCAGTAGCAAGCTAGGGTGTAGGCTAGGAGGCAAGATCATGAGTGTACACATCTGGTAACACCATATGGTGATTATATTAAAGAATGCCTTCAAATCAAAAAAAATTTTTTAAAGAAGACCTCAACATGAAAATGAGCAAATGTCAGAATAGACACCACCACGAGAGACCATACCTGAACAGAAAATAATCATAGGAAAAGGTGTCAGATTTCCTGAGTCTTTTGGGAAATGGGTTAACAATCATAATGAAGAAGCTTCAATATGCCTTTCCAATGGGGAAAACAAGAGAAGCTAGGGTAATCAGAACTCCTATACCCAATACAACCGAATAACCCATGCCCACAACTCAATGGTTCCACTTGTAAGTATGCCCCAAACAGAACTGCCCTGATGTAGCCAGCAAATGTCAGGTATGTGGATGTGAAGTGCAGTGTTAGTTACAACATGCCCCCCAGAAACAACCCAAATATCCATTTATAGAGTGTATATGAGGACCACTGCATACTTCCACTCAGTGAGTTGCATACAATGATAACATAGTCAGACTGTCATTGCATATGAAACAAAATAACTCACAAATAATGCTGACTGAAAAGAGCCAACCGTAGAGGAAGATACTATGATTCTTTTGCTTAATATATAAATCTATAAACATCCAAAAGTTATGTGTGAGTTTAGAAGTATAAGTTCTTTTCCCCCTGACTGGGATGGGGTCGTCAGGAGTAGAAGGGTCATCATCACAGAGACCAGGTAGGGTTCTGATTATCGATCTGGGTAAGAATTCCGTGTATGTGTTTATTTTACGAAAATGAGTTGAGCTTACTATTTGCAGTCTTTCTGCACTTGCTTCACATTTCAAGGAAAAGCTCACGTGGTAAGAAAGAAAGAAAAAAATCTATGTATCTGATATCTTTCTTAGCCATAAGCGCAGAACCACACTGATTTGTTCAGTGTAACTTCACCAGCCCCTAGACAGTGTCTTACATACACTGCTTCTTGTTCAACGGTTGACTAATGAATTCAAGAGAGAGTTTTTTTTTTTTTTAAATCTGTTATTTGTTTTCCTCTGTGGGTTTTCTTGTGCAGGCTTTTGCCAACTATTGTTAGCTGTTACAGGGCACTTGGTTCTGGGAGATTAGCTTGTAGAAGGGAAAACAAAGACCAACATACTAAAAGACCTTGTGTTTGTTTTTCATCGCAGTGACAAAATTCCTCGGAAAGCAACCTTAAAGGAGGGAAGGGCTATTTTGGCTCATGGTTTCTTGGGCATTAGTTTCTGGCCACAGGTCTGCTACTTCTGGGTCTGTGGTGACCCAGACCACTCTGGTATTGTTACCATGTCCCACCCAACCACAAAGGCCATGAAACCATGTGTTGAGGCCTCTGAAAGCATGAGGCAAAATTCTCCCCTCATACATTGCTTCTGCCAGGTCCTTTTCA